CCCGCCACTCCTCCATCCATCCATCCGTCCATCCATCCATCCATCCATCCATCTACTCTGGAAAACTAAAGTTGCTAATCACCATCACCATCGCATATAGAATTACTGATGTATTTATTTTTGTAGATAAAAGCACAGAAGCACCCACAATAATTCCTTAGCGCCCCTTAACACGTTGAGTCCCACGTGACCATACGAATGGTCATGGTCGCCGAGCCCCCCCAGCCCAAGATATATTTTGGAATTAATTTGGAAATGTCCATACGAGTGGTCATGACGTTCGTACAGACAGGGGTCGAACTCCTCCTTTTTCTGCAGGCGGGCATGCCCGCGATGTGGTCAGGTGGGCCGGAAGGCTCGGCGGGCATGCCTACAATGTGGTCATATGGGCCCGGGGGATCGGCAGGCATGTCCACAATATGGTCATGTGGGCCCGGGGGATCGCCGACGAAAAACGGTCTGGGACTCAACGTGTTAAACGGCTGATTAGGATATGTTTATAGTCCATCCTTCCTTCCGTCCGTCCGTCCACATCCATCTCCATCCATCCGTTCATCCATTCATCCCATCCTATCGGTTGAGCCATCACTCTTTCTTACGTTCTCCCTGTAAGTTTCATCCAGTTGTACTGTACTTCCTATTTGTCTGTTGTCTGGTCTCGTGCTGGAATTCTTTCCTGCCCTTCCGTTGTGGTTGCATTCCTTGGCCATATGGCCATATGGCCAAGAAATTCGCAAAGAACTCTGAAAACGTTTTTCACGTTGGAACCGCAGAGTTGTTCCAGATAATGTCCAATTTCCACGCGAACGACACGTGACTATCTTTTATGGGTTTTGCATGTGCAAGGAATTTCGAGAAGATTATGTCCTTACGAGGAATGATAAGAAATAATGTGTCATGTGACTACTGTTTCAAAGTTATGCCACCCTGTCCTTGAATGAATCTTTCATTTGTTTTGATTTCGGTACCATCTCCGGGTTGCACAGACGGAATGTGTGTTAAGTTCTACGCATGTTTTTAACGCAGTGTTCCCGCCCACTGTGGTCCGTCGGGGTGGTTTTCAGCGCTCCTTCGCGACCGTCAGCAGGTATGTGTGGGGAGGGGGGTGGGGACCATGCGGCGCGCGCGGCCTACGTCAAAGGGCGGGTGGGTTGTCAGTCTGAGGACGGAATTGTATCTTTCATCTACACTGTGAAGGTAGAGTAGTAACGAATCACACCCTCCCTATGTACTTGTTGAAGCACTCCAACATTTTCCTGCCGCGATACACGGCAAACGCGTTTACAGCGCGGCGGTGCGGGCGCGCCTGTTGATCGTAAAGCTGGAGCGACACACCGCCGCCCACCCCTTCCTCTGTATACAGTGTCGCCTTCTCGTGACGCGGATCCGAGCCGAGTGAGTGCATCTCTCGCATCGCATCCGCATCTATCTGGATGAGGGTCTCGGCGTCGCGCGGTGCATCGCAGCCACTCAGGGCCGCCCAGGCCGAGGCCCAGGCCGAGGCCCAGGCCCGAGGGGTCCTTTACTCATAAAAATCAGTGTACACCATTAGAAAAAATCACTTAAAAACCATGAAAATTCATGAAAATAAATCACTAAAAATTACAAAAAAAAATAGTGAAAAGTCAGAAAAAAATCATAAAAAATAACAACATTCCAGAGAAAACCACAAAAAATCAAGAAAAACAGAAAAATCGGTGTACGCCACAATTTATAGTGAAGGACCCCTCGCCCAGGCCCGCGCCAACCCTTTCTCCCCCAACTCGTATTTTTTTTGTCCGCGCCTCGTCCTCTCCCACCTGGCGCCGCCCGTTTGGCGCGCCTAATCACCCCCGAGATTTTTGCCGCGCGGCGCGGGCGGCTCGTCGTGGGCGTCATGGAGGTGCACAAATCGCGCGGCGTATGCGGAGCGGGCGAGGCACGTGTGGGCGGGGAGGGGGCGGCCGTTGGTTTGATGGCTTTTTAATTGTTTTGCGCCACTTAAATTGAATGTGTCTCGCCTCCCCCTGCCCCCCCCCCCATTTCCCGCGCGCGCCCTATCTACGCACAGCGATGCACGCAGCATCAAATACAAGCGTAAGCTTACACCGACTTTACCATCTTTTCTTGACTTTTTAGACAGTCTCCAAGACTGTCTCGGAAGGAAAACGCCCCCCCCCCCTTTCCGGTCAGATCTAAAACCTTGGGCCCAGAGTGGCCTCGCGGGTTTGTCAAGTCAAGGTGCGGCGGTGGCCGGCGGTGGCGATGGCCGATGGCGGTGCTTCTTGGGCAGACAGCTTCGTCCCTCCCCCCTTCCCCCCGCCGCACGGTAAAAAATCGGGGGTAATTTTGTGTATCCATAGAACGTATAAATTTCTGAAAATGGTGCAGTAAAAATATTTTGCATCAACTTTGAAGTCGCAAATTTATTTTTCGTATCCACTTCGGATATTTACCTAACCACTGTACGAAGAAATTTCTGAAAATGTTATTAAATTCATGGATTTTGATTGAAATTTTTTGCTTTCTTTTTGTAAAATTACTCGGAGTGTTTTTCGCATTCCTTTTGTATCCAGAGCAGTAAAATTTCGTATCCTCGGAATTGATAAATTTGGGAAACTGTAGAAGCATACACTCTTTCTGTATCCATAGTAGTAAAATTCGGCTAACTATGGATATTGAAAATTACTCAAGAGGGTAGCTGTGTGACTAGCGTTGGTTCACAATGTAGAAATTTGTCGAGTCAGTGGTTAGTGAAAAACGCCAAACAGTAGGTCTATTTTCACTTTGCGTATCCACAGTAGTAAAATTCCCTGGGCCTGGCAGTCGGTCTGGTGTTGTCATCTGATCGTCTCCTAGAGCCGCGACTCGTGCGCGGCTTAGTGGCTCAGTGGTATCGCAGCGGTGCTGTGATCGCATGGTTCGGGGTTCAAGTCCCGGACGGTGCCAACACCAAACACCCTGGGTAGGACCGCAAACCAGTAGAACTGGACTGTAGGTGAGAGTACTGGCCACCCTGTCCTTGCTGACTGCTCGCTCCAACTATTTTCCTACATGGATGAATTTTACTACAGTGGATACACAAAGGTATTTTCTTTTACCTGGCAAGTATTTTTACTACAGTGTAGACGGAAAGGTTGTCCTAAATGCACTTGGTAATTTTACTACTGTGGGTACACAAAGCATACTTCTGATACCTGTGTGCTACGAAATTTACGAACCTCTGTACGCCAAGTTTTCCGTTTCCTGTGTGCATCTAAATTTACAAACGAAATCGTAGCACACAAGCGTTTGCGGGGCCCTGTAGTAAAATTACCCCGAAAATTTTTAACCGTGCGGCAGGGGCTTTCATGCCTGGTGGGGGGGACTGTCTCTCTCTTAGCCCTGTGGACTAATTTTTGTTGAAAACCAGCAGCCGTTTTGACTAGCGCTCATGTTTACGTTTAGAAGGTTTTATAATTATGATACGGATCAACCCTGTCATAAGAAATTTCTTCTGCTTGGACCTTATTTGAACAATAGTTGTGGTAGGTTTGATTTAATTGTGCCGCATACAAAATTGCTTCAAGGTGCCGCTTACAAATTAAGACCCGCACCCTAAGGGGGGAGGGGGTTGGTGATAGTGCGACCAAAATGTGACCGTGGGGGGAGGGGGCTTTAGGCTTGCGACGTCACGCCTTACGCTAATTTGCATTGTGTGTCAAAAATCGAGGTCAAAAATAATTTTTGCTGATATAAAGTATTATTTACTATAAGTAGAGCACAGACCCACAGACCGGTCGGTCACCCGAGGTCGTTTAACGAAATTAAAAACAGGTAAATGTTTCGATGCAATCCTGCCGAATACCTTATTCACAGCAAGTTCGGAAAATATCACTTAATGGTAATCTGCAGTTTTAAGTAAATATGCGCTTATTTGTGACCAGCACGCCAGGGTGGGATGGGAGTGGGGGGGGGGGGGGGGGGAAGCCAAACCGTGACGAATGTCACAATAACAATAAGATTGGAGGGGGAAGGGGTCAAAAATCGTCCAAAGAACACTGTTACGTTCCCGCAAAGCAACACTTTGCAGAACTGCGAAGGATTTTGATCCCTTGTAACGAAGAAGCATTTGCTTTCAATTGCAAAGTGATGCTTTGCAGTTGCAAAGCAATGCCATTGATTTACATGCTAAAAAACACCGCTTTCCAATTTCAAAGCATCGCTTTGCATAGTAAAAGCTAGGTTCTTAATTACCACACTGCAAAATGCTTGCAAAGAATAGGTTCGTATTGCAAACTATTTTCTTTGCAGCTTGCAAAGAATTTTCAAGCATCGTAATACGAACTAGTTCTTTGCAAGCTTACAAACTATTTCTTTGCAATGCAAACACATTGTTTGCAAGGATTCTGCCAGCTTGCAAAGAACGTCTTTGCAATACGAACTAATTCTTTGCAATACAATGCTCACAAATTCTTTGCAACGTTGCAAAGAATAAAGTTTGCAAGCATTTTACAGTGCATAATGATGGATCTAAATTCTTTGCAGTTCTGCAAAGCATGATTTAAAAAGAATTTAACAATGAAGCGTGATTGTGACGCTTTGTTTATCCATAGGGACACTAGTAGGTAATACTCTTATTTTTTTCTTTCTTTTTCAGAAGATACAAACTGCAGTCACACTGACCATTATGGCCGAAGGAAGAAGGAAAGTCGCGTGTACAATATGCTACAAGGAGTTTGCTCGATCTAGTACTTTGCAGACTCATCTGCGAACCCACACAGGAGAAAAGCCTTTCGAGTGTGTAGTGTGCAACAAGAAATTTGTTGGGTCTAGTAATCTGACGAGGCATCTGCAAACCCACACAGAAAAGCCTTTCGAGTGTGCAGTGTGCAACAAGAAGTTTGCTGAAACTGGTCGATTGCATGTGCATTTGCGAACCCACACAGGAGAAAGGCCTTTCGAGTGTACAGTGTGCAACAAGAAGTTTCGCGAACCTTGGCGATTGCGTGAGCATCTGCGAACCCACACAGGAGAAAAGCCTTTCGAGTGTACAGTGTGCAGCAAGAAGTTTGCTCGAACTAGTACTTTGCAGGAGCATCTGCGAACCCACACAGGAGAAAAGCCTTTCGAGTGTACAGTGTGCAACAAGAAGTTTCGCGAACCTCGTCGATTGCGTGAGCATCTGCGAACCCACACAGGAGAAAAGCCTTTCGAGTGTACAGTGTGCAACAAGAAGTTTCGCGAACCTCGTCGATTGCGTGAGCATCTGCGAACCCACACAGGAGAAAAGTCTTTCGAGTGCACAATATGCAACCACAAATTTGCTTTTAATAGTTCTTTAAAGGTGCACATGCGGTCCCACACAGGAGAAAAGCCTTTCGAGTGTGCAGTGTGCAACAAGAAATTTGTTGGGTCTCGTACTCTGAAGAAGCATCTGCAGTCCCACACAGGAGAAAAGCCTTTCGAGTGTACAGTGTGCAACAAGAAGTTTCCTGACACTGGTCGATTGCATGTGCATTTGCGAACCCACACAGGAGAAAGGCCTTTCGAGTGCACAGTGTGCAACAAGAAGTTTCGCGAACCTTGTCGATTGCGTGAGCATCTACGAACCCACACAGGAGAAAAGCCTTTCGAGTGTGTAGTGTGCAACAAGAAATTTAGTAACTCTAGTAATCTGACGAAGCATCTGCGAACCCACACAGAAGAAAAGCCTTTCGAGTGTGCAGTGTGCACCAAGAAATTTGCTCATCCTAGTAATATGCAGAAGCATCTGAGAACCCACACAGGCGGAAAGGCTTTCGAATGTACAGCTGTGAAACAAGAAGTTTCATGAAACTGGTTGATTGCGTGAGCATCTGCGAACCCACACAGGAGAAAATTCGTTCAAGTGTTTAACGTGCACCAAGGAATTTGCTCCAACTAGTACTTTGCAGAAGCATCATCTGCGAACCCAAACAGGAGAAAAGCCTTTCGAATGTGCAATGTGCACTGTGCAGCAACTATAATTTATTCAACTATTCTCTTTTCTCTAACAAATGCACTGTACATCTTTTAATAATCAAATAACTTAATATGCATCTCATTACCTGCTTCTTTTACTTCTTTTCCCTTTTCTGTCAAATTTAGATGCTCTGGAGACACGGGTGCGACGTATCTCATAGCACATATGGGCATTAATAGTCACAAAGACGAAGACTTGAGTTGCTCAGAGTCGTGCAGGATATTCCATGTAATACTTCTTGAAACCAAAGGCACTGTTTTTAGCTGCTGACGAGTCCCATCGCGTACACCTTAAACTGTAAATCCACCAGTCGCCTTTACTTACACGAGGAACAGCGTGCCTGCTCACACTAAATCCCTCTGCATTGTTGTTCATAATCATGCAGAATTTAATACACCAATGATATTATGCACAATTTTATGCATAACAATGTACAGTTTGTGCATAATTATGCACAATTTGTGCACTCTCACACTGGTAAAACAAGTGTGCATAATTTAAACACCAACGTGTACAATTTATAATTTTAAATATACATGGTGTTTAACTCAAGTTGCTCACTTGCATTTTAAACGTTTTGTAAACGTTTAAATTCTCCACACTTGGACACATGGTGTGCAGCTGCTATACTTTTCGGAAGTGTTGAAGGTTTAAACACCAACTGATGTTTAACCTAGTTAGACACCACAATGTGTTGAGAAAATGCACACTTGAACTTTAACACCAATTGACGTGCATAACATTAAACACTTGTTTTAACAGTGCATGGTTGTACAAAAGTGGCTCTGCGACTGCGTGTTAACGGGCCAACGATATCGGCCACACGGCAAAAACAATGTATGATTTTTGGAGGGTAAAATAAAATCTTTGAGAAACTCCACTAGTTTTAGAAAAATTCCCAGATTTCGAGAAAATCTCAAAAACTGGGATTGTTCTTCATTTTTTGAGAAGATTCCTCATAATCTGAGGAGAGATCTAAGGAATTTCCCGCAAAAAAGAAAGAATTCTTTGCCGTGGGGATCAACTCTGTAGGGTAGGCTAATTTTTTCTGTTTTCTGTCTAAATAATCAAGAAAAGATAGAAAAGTTGGTGTACGCCAACGCTTGAATTTATGTTGAAGTACCTCCTATCGACTGTGCGTCGCTGTACGTAGGGCCCGCGGGGGAGAGGGGGGGGGGACATATTCAATTTAAGTGGTGCAAAACAACTTGTGCAGACAAAACTCTACGGGCTAAAATTTCGTCCGTTAGGCTTTCCATCTAGCACTATTTGGGTACTAGATGGCCTTTTTCGACGAAATTAAGCGAAACATTCCAGTTATTACCAAAAAGTCGCCAAAGGAGGCCTCCTCAAATCGCAAAATGGTACAGGAAGTATCTCCCAAAACTGCGGTATAGGATCCGTTTCTAATCTCTGCTTAAATGTCGGGCCGAATAAGGCCTGACAAACGCCGCCGTAAGTCAAGCCAGCCCGGCCCGGGCTCCTGCTGCCGATAACGGAGTTGCCGGCGGAGCGGGGTGAAGCTGGCAACCCCGTTTGCCGGAAGGGCGGGCCTGCTGGTTTAGTTCCCCCTCGCGCACAGCTGCGGAGGTGGGCTGGGCGGGCCCGGAGCGCCCCCCGGCCCGGAGCGCCCGCCCAGCCCGGGGTAGGCCCCGCGCCCGGACGCTCTGCTCGGCGGGCCTGCCCACCCGACGCTCGGCGGGCGCCTCGGCGGGCGCGGGGATCCGCAGAAGTGAAAATAACGAGAGAATGAAAGAAATGGGCCAAAGGGAGGGGGCTGAAGCTGGGAAAAACCTCACGCGTGCTTGTCGCTGCTGTCGCTCTGCTGCTGGGCCTGGGCCCCCACGCGCGGGCGGCAGGTACAGTATACTTCATCATGTGCGTTGTTAGGGACACAAATTGATCATGTCGGGCCCTGCTGCCGCATTCACGTCGCCCCACCCATCCATCAAGTGCACGCCAGAGTCACGCCAGAGCCGTCTCTCAAGAGGAGCGTGTGCGGCCGGCCGGCCGGGGACATCATCTGCGGAAACTGCGCATCCAGTTATGTTGAAGGAAGCCGAACGTTTCATTGACAGTGTCGGGACGGGCAGAAAGTGAATGCCGCCTCGATACAACTGTGCGTCCTAACTGTTGCTATAGCCGTGTTGCCGTTTTAGCAACCTATCATTTTTTATTTTTTTTCTAAATCTTGTGTTGTGTAGGCGTTACCAAACCCTCTTGACATATGGAGAGGAGATTCGGAAACACTGAACAAAAAAAAAAAACTAATAATGAACTTTTTATAAACAACTTTTTTTTATTGGATATCCCTGGTTTTTATCTGTCACCGTTGCGGTCTCGGGGGGCGCGAGGTCGTTGTGGGCGCAGAAGGGTGAGCAGCAGTGTGGTCGGCGGCGTGGTGGTGCAGTCGGTGCGCAGAAACCCTAAAGTGTGTGAATTGGCACACCTACAAGTGTGCTGCATTCGCACACTTTGCGTTTCCAGCGTGTGAGGGGGGCCGCTTGCGGGCGGTGCGAAGGAGGTGCGCGACCACCTGGCGGTCAGCCTGGCGGTCAGCGCAGCGTGAGCAGGATGGAGTAGGCCCGCTGCCGGCGCGCACCCGTGCCCGTCGGTCGATTCTCCGCGGGCGCGGCTGTGGTTGTGGACGGAGGCGCGCTCTGCCCCGCCGCCTGCGGCTGCTGGTCGACGCGCCCGCCGTCGCCGGACCCTGCGGAATCAGGCAGAGTTCAACGTGGTCATGTTCCGAAAAGTTGCCGATAATTTATCATATATAGAATTGCTTAAGCTAAGACACGAAATACGACAAATACAGCAGAAAAACGCAAATGGGGACACTGACCGAGTCGCGCCTCGCAGGCCCGCAGCCGCTCCTGCACCAAGGCCAGGGTCATCGCCTGCTGCCGGCCGCACGCGCGCTGCTGCCCTGCTGTGCGAGACCGGCTGATTAGAACACGTGTCCTGTCCGCTCTTATCGTGATACACCCTCGGCAGCGCCCTCGGCAGCGCCCTCACCTCGGTGCCACGCCCGGCGCGACGGGCGCTGCTGCAGGCGTGGTGGCGCGGCCTCCCTCTCCGCCAGGTCCGTGCCGCCTGCTTCCGAAGGACACGGTTAAAAAATGATTAGCTACAGCCAAACCAATAGCTATATAAATATGGGACAACTTTATAAGATTAAGCTGTGCAGCTAGGTAGTCAAACACGGTCAAACATAGCTAAATAGTTATTGTGAAATTTACTATTGGTTTATAGTTATACAGCGCAGCCGAGCGCAGCTAACCATTGTTTACCGTGTGTTTGGAAATGTTTCATTATTTGAATCCTGCAACTCGCTCTCCCTTTGAATGTCGTTTCGTTGAGCTGTACCTGAGCGCCGGCCTCGCGTGGGTGCGAAGATGTGCTCTAGCCTGAAGGCGGGGCCGGGGCGGCCCGTGCCCGTGTGCCGGGCCGGCGCAGGTGGCGGCGGCGGTGTTGCGGTGCCGCCGTCGCCGGGCGGCTCCTGTAAGCCGAGCTCGGTTCAAACGGCGGTAACACGACCCCGGATATTAATAAATGAAGTAACACCATTTCCTTCTCGCTCCTATCTCGGCGGCGTCTGTTCTTGTACCTGGGCGTCGAGCAGCGCTTCCAGCTGCTCGCGGATCCCCAGTCCGGTGGGGCCGTGGTGCCAGTAGTCCGACGGGACGCTCTCCTCGCCGCCGGAGCCGCGGTCGCCGCCAGGGCCGCGGTCGCCGCCGGCGTCGTCGGGGAGCGGGCGCTGTCGGCGGCCTCGGTGCGCCACGAAGTGCTGCGTCTCGAGCCACCGGCCCACGTCATCGCCCTGCTCCCCCTCGTCGTCGTCGTCGTCGGGCGCCTCCTGGTGGCGGTCCGGGGGCATGTCAAGGTAGTCGGCCACCTCGGCGTGGAGCGGGGTGCAGCCGCCGGCGCGGGAATACGAGCGCGCCGTCCTCTGCAACAATCGGTGCAGCCTCAGTGTGTGTGGGGGGGGGGGGGAGTGATCCAATGCCAACCGGGCCGTAACCCGCAGCGCGGACAATCGCGCGGAGCGATCCGCATCGTTATGCCCAACCGACGTGCCGTCGTACTTACACTTGCTGGCGGGGCGCCCGAGGCGGCGCGAGCAGGCTAGCCCGCCGCACGGCGCGGCCAGAGCGTTGCCTACCCGGCCGGCGCTCCTGCATGCAGGTGCTGCAGCACCTCCTTGCACTAGCGCGAGCACAGAGAGCACCTACACGCACGGGTACACTTGCTCAGGTGTAGACTGGCCTGGCTAGGGTGGGAGGGAAGGTGTACAATATCTCCCCCCCCCCCTCCCGACAAAAAGTTACCTATCCGGGTGACTTTTGGCCTTTTGCCTCTTTATGTAGGCAAATTCCAAGCGATTCCCACGCGGATCTGGGGCTACTGATCCCGAGCAGCACCTCAGCATACCCCGCGAGTTTCTAGCTAGCGTAAAGCTCAAAGTACTCGTTTCACTATCATTTCATGTTTGTAGGTGAGATCTTTTTTATTCTTTTCAAAGCAACGGAAAAATGCGAGGAATTTATTGAAGAGGTAAAAGTGCCTGGTTGTTTAACAAGAAAAAAACAACAAATCATCAAAAATTATTTATTGTAAAAACACTTCCCTTCAGGCCCGGCCGTCATCCATGTAACGTCGCTCTCGCGTGCCTGTAGTTCTCTGCTCACTCAGGTGCTCCCCACTGGAGATGGAGAATCAAAGGAGAAGGCGGCGTGAGCTATATGCCGGATATGGTTGAGCGCGCGCGCACGCGGCCCTACGTACTGCTTGCGGTCACCCCCCCCCCCCCCCCCCCCCC